TTATGTGATCATCGAAATGTAGATACATATAGGCTATAAACAAAATGTCAACCCCATAAAATTGAATAATCTGTATCGATGCTACAACCTTTGATCTCGGGACTAACCGAGTCGAATCGAACCAGACTGTTTTTGAGTTACGCGATCTGCCATTGGTGCGTCTTCAATCTCTCTCTCTCTCTCTCTCTCTCTCTCTCTCTCCATCGATGCATACATACATATATGTGTATCTGTATATATATATATATATGAAGAACACAGTGATCAGTTCGGGCTGTTGGTGAGGTCCTCTGATTTGTTTGTTGTTTGTAGAGTTGTGGAATTGTGTTCAGTTGTCTGTTCTTGCTTTCAATTTTTCTCTGCCATTGATTTGAATGGATTTGTAGATTGATAATTGAGAACAAATATAGTATTTTGTTTACTTGTTAGACCATCTCCAACGGTTCACCAAAGTTGACATCAAATTTAAATTTTGATGAAAAAGTTACTGTTTACTACTCCAACGGTTGCACCAAATCGATATCAGATTGAGATTTCATCAAACAATTCATCAAACTGAGGAGAAGATATTGATTTCACCAAAACACTATTTGTGACCGTTGGAGGGAGGACCCGGTTGACCAACCGGTCGACCGAATTCCTTTCAAATAGGTTGGTTCAAACTGGTCAAAAAAGGTTCAAACAGGTAAAAAAAATATATATATACATTTTGCCTTACCGGTTGACTGGCCGGTCAACCCACCAAAACCAAAACAGAGATGAAGTTGTTATGATTACATACTAAGTTCTTGATGAAGATGATGAAGCTGTATGTTAACAATTACATACCAAAACCAAGCTGTATGTTAACAATTACATACCAAAACAATCAATGAAGTTCTTGTTTTGAATCAAAAACCCATTTCGCTTCTGGTCTTGTTTGCGTATATGATGGGCACAGTTGTATCCAGATAATTTTGGGTTTCCTTTGGGTGTTTCACAGAATTTGATGGAGAGTGGTTATGGAATCAATGAGCTCTGTTTCAACTTTCCTCAGAATTTGACGGAGAGTGGTTATGGAGAGTGGTTACGAAAATGTTTCAAGCTGCAAAAATATATATATATATATATATTTACGCTTACCGGTCAACCCACCGGTCGACCAACCGGTTGACCTACGGGATTTGATACGGGATTTGATGCACCGTTGGAGCTACTGATATCAGATTTGGTGAAATGAGTCATTTTTTACTCAGATTTGGTGAAAAAAAAAGTTCACCGTTGGAGATGCTCTTAGTTCATGTATGTATGCATGTAATGTATTTACCGTATGTATATGGGGCAGGACGCTTTCGATACTTTATTTATGTGCAAACTACATTGGTATTTTAATTATTGTGTCATTTTGGTCTCTATTATTTGAATTGACTTGATTTTAATCTTGAATTTTTTTATTTTGTCTTAATTACTCTTATTGAATACAATTGGTAGCATTTTTTAATAAAAAAAATATGGACATAAGGGCATGATTTTAAAGACAAAATTATAAGTTTGCTTAAGTTAACCTCAACCAATTTTGTGATAATTTTTTGTCACAAAGATATTATCAATTGGACTAAATTGACACAAAATCTAAAATTAAGGGTCGAAATTGAGACAATTAAAAGTGTAGGGACTAAAATGACACAAGAAACAAAATGCAGGATTACCAATGTAATTTGTCCTTTATTTATCTGAAATAGGAAGGGTTAATTGTAGGGTTGAGCACCGGATCGACCGACCCGCCAACCTGAACACTTTTGGGTGGATGCGTGACACGTAGCAGGCGGGGTGCTGGCCCAAATTATTTGTTTTCGCGAGTTCGAGTTGGGTTGCAGTTAATCTGCCAAAACACCCACTTAACCCGACCCGAAGGGTTAGGATTTACCTCCGGTTCTCACATGGAGGGGTATGTGGGGTCAGCACGGGTTCTTGTTTTGATAATTCTTACTATTTATTTTGTAAATCTCTTCGTGTATATATCATTTATGGAAAAAAAATTAAGTCGATCCAATAATCGTAACTTTTTCATTTTTTTCATAGATGATAGACACGAAGAATGTTATAAAATGAACGACTCGAATCATCAAAATGGAATCTGTGGTAGACGCCGCGCGCCCAAACATCCCATCCCGTTCAAATTATGGACCGGAGGCAAACTTTTTCTTTTACTTGTTCTTTTCTTGTTCCATATAGCAAATTTTATATTTTCTTTGGGAAGGGATGGCTGTTGGAGACCTTATTGCTTGTTAGATAAATTAGGTGAGATCAATTTCGAAGACTGACATGAAGATTTCACTTCTGCAGATTTGATGTTGAATAAGCCTTCGACCATAGCTTAGACTAAGAATAGTTTTGAGGGATCTACTCTGTGTTCCTTTTTCAAACTCAATGGCTTGTGAGTTGATTCCAAAAAGGGCATATTGGGTAGCTTTCAGCTATACAGTTCTTGTTTCACAAGCCTGCAATGGCTTTTATCCTTCAGAAAACTACATGCATACATATTCAACAGGTGACGAAATATATGCCAAAGTTAATTCATTGACCTCTATTGAAACTGCGCTTCCCATCAGCTATTACAGCCTCCAGTACTGCATACCCCGTACAGGAATAAAGAAAAGTGCAGAGAATCTTGGATAACTCCTCATGGGAGACCAGATTCTCAACTCTCCATACTGTTTTCGAATGAATGTCAATGAATCTGCTGCTAATGGTGATCTTTATCTTAGCTGGTATTGTTTTTCTTATATGTTTACGGACAGTCAGAAGTGATTTGACAATGTATGAGGAATTGGACAAAAAAGCGCAAGTACAAATGAACAAGCAGCTTTCAGGCTGGAGGCTTGTTGTGGGCGATGTGTTGAGAGAACCAAATCACTCAAAGCTACTATGTGTGATGATTGGAGACGGGGTTCAGATCACTGGGACAGCTGTTGTTACTATTGTATTTGCTGCCTTTGGTTTCATGTCACCAGCTTCTCGTGGAATGTTGTTGACGGGGTATGATAATTTTTTATCTTTTCCTGGGGACTATTGCTGGTTATGCTGCTGTACGCTTGTGGATAACGATCAAGGGGACTTCAGATGGTTGGAGGTCAGTTGCCTGGTTGGTTGCATGCTTCTTCCCTGGAATTTGTTTTGTTATCCTCACTGTGCTGAATTTTATTCTCTGGGATAGCAAAAGCACCCGTGCAATTCCCATTTCTCTTTATTTTGTTCTCCTATCTATCTGGTTCTGCATTTCAGTGCCACTCACCCTTCTGGGAGGTTTCTTAGGAACACAAGCTGAGCCTATTCAGTACCCTATACTAACCAGCGAAATATCAAGAGAGATCCCTGCACACAAATATCCATCATGGCTTCTGGTTCTTGGGGCTGGGACCCTTCCATTTGGAACAATATTCATTGAACTTTTCTTCATCCTCTCTAGCATCTGGCTCAGGATGTTCTATTATGTCTTTGGATTCCTTCTTGTTGTTGGTCATCATATGTGCAGAAGTATCTGTGGTCCTTACCTACATGCATCTCTGTGGTGAGGATTGGCAGTGGTGGTGGAAAGCATTCTATACATCAGGTTCCATTGCTCTCTATGTGTTCCTCTAGTCCATCAATTACCTGATTTTTGACCTTCAGGGCTTGAATGGGTCTGCGTCGGCTATACTTTATCTTGGGTATTCACCAATCATGGCCATTGCGATCATGCTATCTACCGGCACTATTGGCTTCCTCACATCGTTGTATTTTGTCCAGTACCTTTATTCATCGGTGGAGATTGATTCCAAATGTATATTTGCTAAGTCCCATGGGCCAGTTTAACTCTCCTGGTGCAAGGGGTCAATCCAACATTTTGCTTTGCAAAATTTGGCTTGCTACATTATCATGTTGCACAACATCAACAGGTTACAGATTTTAATAAAGTTGAAGTTATGATTTAGCTGTCTCATTCTCATTGTGTTCTGTTTTTTTTTTTTTTTTTGAAATAGAAAAATTGAGATTTTTTCAGATGCAGATTGGGCAGGTTCATTGACTGATCGAAGATCAACTTCTGGCTATTGTTCGTTTGTTTGGGGGAACGCGGTTACATGGCGAAGCAAGAAACAGTCAGTGGTAGCCCGTAGTAGTGCTGAGGCAGAATTTCGTGCTATGGCACTAGGTATCTGTGAGGGAATCTGGTTGAACAGGATGTTAGAAGAATTACGGGTTCCATCTGAGCATCCCATGGTTTTATACTGCGACAACCAAGCCGCCATCAGTATAGCTAAGAATCCGGTTCATCATGATCGAACGAAACACGTGGAGATAGATCGACACTTTATCAAGGAAAAGATTGAAGAAGGAGTTTTTCAAGTCAGCTACACTCCAACAAACGATCAAAAGGCTGACATTCTCACAAAAGCTCTTGCTCGCGTTCACTTCGAAGATCTGACGGAAAAATTGGGAATGATTAATATCTACAACGTAGCTTGAGGGGGAGTATTGAAAATCAAGCAAGCTATTTGTTAATAATACCAGCTGCATGCTTATATCATTAATATATATTTAATAGTTAGTGCTTCTCCATCAGATGATTTATTGTAGTGCTTTAGGTAGTGCCTTCAACTTTCGGCTACTTTTTATTTTTATATGTTTTCTTTCATAATGTAGTATCATAATGATGTTGTATTAGCTCTCCTATATAATGGAGCCTTCTCTTCATGTTTAATACACAATTGAATCACAGAGTGTATTAGCTCTTTCAATCACTCTCTCAATATTTCTTTCATGTGGTCCTTACCTACATGCATCTCTGTGGTGAGGATTGGCAGTGGTGGTGGAAAGCATTCTATACATCAGGTTCCATTGCTCTCTATGTGTTCCTCTAGTCCACCTATTACCTGATTTTTGACCTTCAGGGCTTGAATGGGTCTGTGTCGGCTATACTTTATCTTGGGTATTCACTGATCATGGCCATTGCGATCATGCTATCTACCAGCACTATTGGCTTCCTCACATCGTTGCATTTTGTCCAGTACCTTTATTCATCGGTGGAGATTGATTCCAAATGTATATTTGCTAAGTCCCATGGGCCAGTTTAACTCTCCTGGTGCAAGGGATCAATGCAACATTTTGCTTTGCAAAATTTGGCTTGCTACATTATCATGTTGCACAACATCAACAGGTTACAGATTTTAATAATGTTGAAGTTATGATTTAGCTGTCTCATTCTCATTGTGTTCTGTTTTTAAATGTAATCAATTGAACTTTCTATCATAGTATGCTCTTTGGATTTTATGTTGAAAAGAAAGGTAGGTTATATAATTATATTGCAATTGGTGTTGTTTGTTTTATTGACTATATGATGCAGCCCTCTGTTTGCCTGGACATCTCCACAGTAATGTGGTTTCTATGGTATTTTTATTTCGAAATAATACATCCAACATTATAATTTTAAAATTATCACTGTTTTATTATTTTGGATGAGATTTATATGAATTAGACACATTGTATACACTTGTAAAAAAAATAAATTATGTATCATTATTTTTTAATCACTCTGTTTGATTTTGAATTTTCAAATACAGTTTGAATTTTATTTTTCGTATTTTGTCATATTTAGTGAATTTTTAAAATATTTAAGTAAATTTTTTTCAATTTTTTTATATGTACCTAAAAAATAAAATAATTGTGGAGAGAAATCCTATAATAATAAATACAAAAAATTAAGAAAATGAACTGAATTTATATATATATATATATTTCATTTAATGAATTTTTAAAATATTTTTTCTTCAAATATTTTACTTTTTATGTGCATGTAAAAAGTACAAAAAATTTTTTTTGATTAAAATATTTAAATAATTCACTTAAGACAAAAATATACAAAATTCTCAAAATTTGTATTTGAAGACTTAAAACCAAAATGTATTAATATTTTGTATCTTGTACTATGTTTTGGATGAAGGGCGGACCTGGCGTAGCGTGAAGCTACCCCTTGGTGACCTGGTGGTCACAAGTTCGAGTCGCAGAAACAGCCTCTCTGCTTGCGAGGATAAGGCTGCGTATATCAACTCTTCTCCAGACCTCGCTGAAGCAGAAGTTTCGTACACGGAGAGTACATCGTTTTACTATGTTTTGGATCTTTTATTTGACTTTAGAAAGGAAAATGAGAAGTATTAGAAATTACTTGAATCAAATTATTTTTTTACTGGAAACTATGTTTTCCTCACCTGTCATGTATTGGGGGTACATTCTTTTACTATGTTTTCCTCACCTGTCATGTACTGGATAATCAAATGAACTTTCTATCCTAGAATGCTCTTTGGATTTTATGCTGAAAAGAAAGGTAGGTTATATTGCAATTTGCTCAGCTAGTGTTTTTTTTTTTTTTTTTCGAAATAATACATCCAACATTATAATTTTAAAATTATCGCTGTTTTATTATTTTGGATGAGATTTATATGAATTAGTCACATTGTAATACATTTGTATTAAAAAAAATTATGTATCATTATTTTTTAATCATTTTGTTTGATTTTGAATTTTCAAATACAGTTTGAATTTTATTTTTCGTATTTTGTCATATTTAGTGATTTTTTTTTAATATTTAAGTCAGTTTTTTTCAATTTTTTTATATGTACCTAAAAAATAAAATATTTGTGGAGAAATCTTATAATAATAAATACAAAAAAAATATGAAAATGTACTAAATTTTTATATTTTTTTGCATTTAATGAATTTTTTAAAATATTTTTTCTTCAACTATTTTACTTTTCCTGTGCATGTAAAAACGTACCCAAAAAAAAATTGATTAAAACAATTAAATAATTCACTTCAGACAAAAATACACGAAAAAACAAAATTCTCAAAATTTGTATTTGAAGACTTAAAACAAAAATGTATTAATATTTTGTATCTTGTACTATGTTTTGGATCTTGTATTTGACTTTAGAAAGGAAAATGAGAAGTAATTGAAATTACATCAAATTATTTTTTTATGGGTAATTAAAGAAGAATGATTTATTAGAGTAATATTTGTTTATGGTTTTCTTATTTTTCATTCTAATGAGACAAAAGTAACAAATAGTCTCTCTCATTTTATTTCTCCTTTCTTTCTTTATCTTTAATTTAATTTTTTCTTTATAAATTTAAATTTGTAAACTTTATTTGTTTTGTATTTTTTTTTTGATCGGCAAAAAAGAAGCTTTATTGATGGAAAAACATAACTAGTACGATACTTACATCAATAAAGAAGAAGGTGCAAAAAAACATCATAGTGAAACATTTAGATCACAGTGAAACTTTATTTGTTTTGTATACTATTCGCGGCTCCCAAAACAAACTGTAACAAATTCATAGAAGAAATTCTGTTCAAGGCCTTCATCAAGCCACATCATTAAAAAACCAGCACAACATTATGATCAAAGCCGGAAACAGCTTGCAAAACCTCAGAACCTTCCAAATATTCAACTAACTTTGGCTCATCTTCACCAATGGATACCACTGCCCCAAACCCATACCTGCCTTTTAGATGTCACATCACAGCAACAGAATGCGCATGGAGCAGTGGGTGGTTCTCCGGGCCATCCCTCCCGAGCTGAGTACTCTGGTTCCATCTCCGAGGCACAATGCCCGTGGTATCTTTTGCGTCGTCCGACCTTGCAATTTGGCTCATGTCCAAAGAATGGCCAAGTCTTGATGCAATTGAAATAGGACGGAAACTGTGTTGACAGGCAGCATTCCCAAATCTTGAATTACTTTGCCCAACTGGCCGTACATATTGCTCCCGCTGCTTAATAGAGTGCCATCACCCACTACAAGAATTTACACAATTGCCGACCACTTTTGCCGATCAAAAAAATTTTGGTCGCAAAAAAATGACATTTGGCGACTAAATATTAATTAGTCGTGAATGATCATTATTTTTGGCGACCAAATATTATTGGTCGCAGAATGTTATATTTTGGCGACCAAAAAATGAGTTGGTCGCAGAAAGTGGTATGCTTTTGCCGACCAACTACAAATTTGGTCGCGGAAGGTCACATTTTTTTGGCGACCAAAAATTTGGTCGCCAAAAACTTATTTTCAGCAACTAAAAAAAATTAGTCGCCAAATTAGTACTTTTAGCGACTAATATTTTAGTCGCCGTTGATTGAGATTTGGCGACTAAAAAGATTTGTCGGCGAAGGTACCTTTCTACGACTAATATTTTCGTCGCCAAATATTAATGAAATTTTTTTACTTTTGATCTTTGCCGACCAAAAATGTGGTCGGCAAAATACTTATTTTTAGGGACCAAAAAACATTTTGTTGGCAATAAAGTTAAACAATTTCAAAAACACATATTCATGTTTTTGGTGGGAATACACTCTTACATTACCGCCCAATTTATTTTCTATCAATATGTACATAGACCCAAATAAGTTCAGTCTCTTGCTCTCTCTGTTTCTCCACTACTACAAAAATAGTTAAATATCACACTTTGACAAAAAAAAAAGATCTCATTTTTATTGGAAGTGTGATAAAAAAAATTATATTGATATTTTAATCACACTTAATTTGATTGAGTGTGATAATATTTATTTTTTATGTCACTTTTCAATTAAGTGTGATTATATATATATATTTTTTAATCAATTGAACTTTCTATCATAGTATGCTCTTTGGATTTTATGTTGAAAAGAAAGGTAGGTTATATAATTATATTGCAATTGGTGTTGTTTGTTTTATTGACTATATGATGCAGCCCTCTGTTTGCCTGGACATCTCCACAGTAATGTGGTTTCTATGGTATTTTTATTTCGAAATAATACATCCAACATTATAATTTTAAAATTATCACTGTTTTATTATTTTGGATGAGATTTATATGAATTAGACACATTGTATACACTTGTAAAAAAAATAAATTATGTATCATTATTTTTTAATCATTTTGTTTGATTTTGAATTTTCAAATACAGTTTGAATTTTATTTTTCGTATTTTGTCATATTTAGTGATTTTTTTTTAATATTTAAGTCAGTTTTTTTCAATTTTTTTATATGTACCTAAAAAATAAAATAATTGTGGAGAGAAATCCTATAATAATAAATACAAAAAATTAAGAAAATGAACTGAATTTATATATATATATATTTTTTTTTTTCATTTAATGAATTTTTTAAAATATTTTTTCTTCAAATATTTTACTTTTCATGTGCATGTAAAAAGTACAAAAAAAAATTTTTTGATTAAAATATTTAAATAATTCACTTAAGACAAAAATATACAAAATTCTCAAAATTTGTATTTGAAGACTTAAAACCAAAATGTATTAATATTTTGTATCTTGTACTATGTTTTGGATGAAGGGCAGACCTGGTGTAGAGACCCTAATTTTTGGTAATTACACTTGATACCCTAAGCCTTAGGTTAATTACATTTTAATCCCAAATTTTATAAAATTTTACAAAATGGTCCAAGAAAGAATTATTTTTCTGTATTTTATTTTGTATTATAATTAAATCATAGAATGCCATTTTTATATTTGGAAATACCCTAACGCTTGGCTTTTATTTATGTACCTCCTAGTTTCTAAATTAATTCATCAAATTTATTTTTAGCCTAATTGAATATTTATTAGTTCTTTGAATTTTTATTATTTTCTTTGAACCTTTATTATTTAATTGAGCAAATAAATATCTTTAAATAAATATCTACACATATCTTTAAATAAATAGTTTTATTATTTATTTTAATACTTATTTGAGCAATTGAAAAATATCTAGATTTTTATGCTTTTTCTTAGTCATTAAGCTAGCCCTATTTCATGGCTTATAAATTGAGAACTTTGTCTCAATTTTCACCACATTTTCAACAGCCTAGGGAGAGGGTGAGAGGGTGAAAGTGTGATCAAAGGAAGTAGAGCAGAAGAAGAAGAAAAAAATAATAATAATAAGGGTGACTCTCAAAAAGGTAAGAACATACCCCTCCTTCGTCTTCTCCAATTCTTTCACCATCTCCTTCTATTGTCTAATATGCCTCTTGTGTTGCAAATTAATGGTAAATAGGGTTTTTGGTGTATGTTGAAGTGTGGATATGATCAATTGCCATTGTCTTACAAATTTGTAAAATTAGGCACTGCTGCAACTTCCCTAATTTAAAATAAATATCAAATCTATTTAATTCTCAAATCTGAATTTATGGTAGGATATTTTGTGTGTTTAGAGTTTGTGAAAATTTTATTAGCTCCAAATTGTTTGTTTTTAGGGCTTGGATAAATTGTTGAAAAATCTGGTCCTGAATCTCTAAAAAACAGTCCACTTTTAGCAATTTTATAACATTCTAGAAAAATCACCTCATGTTGGTTCTTCTATCAAAATTTAGAACTCTGAGTCCTCTTTCCAACAGATTTTATTTGAGTGAAAACCATCGAGTAGATTGAGAGAAAAGTTAGTTTCCCCAAAGGGAGACAAATCTGGACAGGTTTTCGAATATAGTTTGTAGATGAATTTGTGGAGGTGCTGTGCAACTTCTGAAAATTGGAACTGAAACTAGACAGATTGAATATTGTTTCTGTGCCAATTCAGCCCCTAATTTGACCTATAAGTATTTTTACCAAAGCGTTCTTGTTAGCCCTGCAGAACGAACAGTGCTGGAAATGTGTTGTTGTTGTTTTGTGTCTCTAAGTATTTTAAAGCATGCCTAATGTTATTTTCTTGCCTTACCATACCTATTATGATTTATCATGGCTACATTTCATTTCTTATGTTTGTCTCATGCTCTTTTAAATTACCGAATTACCGAATGTGACTAGCTTGCTTGGCAAAAGATCTAATAAATGGGAAATGGAAAGGGGTTGCTATGTGGTGACGTTCACCCCTTGTGCTTCAGAAATATTTATGTATTGAACGTGTGAATGGAATTAAAACCAATATGAGTTAAGTCTTGCGCAAGCGGTCTTAAACGACCCTAGGTTGACACGGATGTATTCAGACTCTATGCGGTGGTTCAGGGTGTAAGCCGAGCCCTTTGGTATGATATGTGCAGGTGTAAGCGAGCCCTAGGCACGATTGGTATGGTATGTGCAGGGTGTAAGCAAGGCCTAGGCACGATGTGGGTGTAAGCGAGCACCACTTGTTTGGCCGTCCCTTTTGAGTCATCAATGTCACTAAAACCCGGTAAATAACCAGAGGTGGCATAGGTGGTAAGGTTTGCAAAGCAGCAAAAATGAGAGTTCTGAATAGTCCGGTG